GGCTCAGCGCGGGGCGCACTTGGCTGGCGCCGCGCTCGGGGCGCACGGACGCTCCAGCGCCGCTCCAGCTCAGCTCTGCTCCCCGCCCGCTGCAGTGGCGGCCCACCCGCCCGACTCCGGCCTGGGCTCCTAGAAGCAACCCGCCCGCTCGGTCCCGGCGCCCGCGGACCATGCCCCCTGCGCCCCCCGGGGAACCGGGCCGGGCCGAGAGCCCTCGGGGACCAGGCGCCCTGCCTGGGACCCCTCCCGATCGCCGGGTCCACGGCCCGCGCCCTGCCCCGCGCCTTGAAGCCGCGTGAGTCGGCGGGGGCCATGGAGCGCGCTCCGCCCGACGGGCCGCTGAACGCGTCGGGGGCGCTAGCGGGTGAGGCGGCGGCGGCGGCGGCGGCGGCGGGCGGGGCGCGCGGCTTCTCTGCCGCCTGGACCGCTGTGCTGGCCGCGCTCATGGCGCTGCTCATCGTGGCCACGGTGCTAGGCAATGCGCTGGTCATGCTCGCCTTCGTGGCCGACTCGAGCCTCCGCACCCAGAACAACTTCTTCCTGCTCAACCTCGCCATCTCCGACTTCCTCGTGGGTAAAGCCCTCGCGTCACCCGCCCGCCCGTGGGACCTGGGCCCGAGCTGCCTTGGGGGCCTCCCGGTCGGCTTTCGGCCCTGCCAGCGACCTGGCTGGAGAGGGGCATCCTGGACCCTCCGGCGGGGGTGCAGGCTGAGTTCCCCGCTGCTTCGGCTGCAGGACGGGCGCGGGGGAGGGGGTATCCCCGGGGAAGGAAAGGGCCGAGCTGAGCGCTCAGCTAGGCGCAGGGCGCAGCGGCGGCGGCAGGTGCAGCGCTGGCTCTGCGCCGCGGCCAAACAAAGGCTGCAGAGACTCAGGACACGCGGAGGGCGCGGGGAGGGTTATTGGGGAGGCTTGGGGGAAGGGACGCACAAGAGGGGTTCTCTGTGCTGTGTTGGGGGAGGGGGTCACGAAAGATGGGGGTGCTCAGAGGAACGGCGCGTTCTCACGTGTCCGCGCTCTGCTGCTGGCTGGGGGGCGGGGCGCCAAGGGGGCCGAGCGCTAGACACCTGTTGGGGCTGCAAGGCGCGTCTCGCCGACGCACGGAGCGGGGCTTTGAGATGGGAGAAGCTGGCGTGGTGGCAGCCAAGTGCCCTGTAAGGCGGAGAGAGGCTTTCTTGATACCTAAGCTGATGATGCCCAGGGCTGTCCAAGCCAGTTTAGGGCTAGGGCACAGCAAGTGGGGAGAGGAGAAAGAATTCTCTTCCCTTTGCCAGCTGGGAAGGACTGGACCTGAGCCTCTAATGACTTCAGGGTCTGGGTCTCCTGCCCAAAAGCCCAGATGACCTTCCCTCCTGCTCCCATGGCCAGGGGGCACCAGTGGAGAGGGGCAAGAGTTGAATGAAGGCCAGATAATAGAACCAGAGGGTGTGGCCTGCAGGGAAGGCAAAGTGAGTGATAGGGTCCACTGGCTGACCCCCCAGGCTCATTGCGTCCCTCCCCCTGGTTGGCACTACCCAGGTTTCTGTCCAACATGGCCTTCCTGTGACTCTCCCCCAGGTGCCTTCTGCATCCCTCTATACGTGCCCTATGTGCTGACTGGCCGCTGGACCTTCGGTCGGGGCCTCTGCAAGCTGTGGCTGGTGGTGGACTACCTGCTCTGTACCTCCTCTGTCTTCAATATCGTGCTCATCAGCTATGACCGCTTCCTGTCCGTCACCCGCGCAGTGAGTCCTGGGAGAGGGGAGGGGCCCAGGGGGCTCCAAGGCCCAGCAGTTGATGTCCCGAGATCCTACAGCAGGGTCCTCAGTAGCTGTGTCCTGCCAGAGGAGGGCCTCTAGGACTGGAATAAGGCGCTTCTGATGCCCTGACCACAGGGTCCTTCTGCTTCATGGGGACCTGCGTTTGCACCTTCCACCCCACCACATGCACACATGCACATATGCACATGCATAAGTATACACACAGCACACATGCACACACAAAATGCACACATGCACTCTCATAAATACACACATGCATGCATAATACACACAGGTGCAGGAACATACATGCATATGAGCACACACTTGTACACACATGTACACACAGATATGCACATGCAACATGCATGCAGAATGCACACGTGTCTCTGAACACATGTGTGCCCGTGTATACATACTCTGCTGGCCTCCCTTTCTAGGAGTAACAGCCAGGGTAAGCTGGAGGTGGGGCAGGCGGGGCTGGAGCAGACGTCTCCCCTCACTGTTCACTCCTGATGGTCTCCCGTGTGTGCTGGGGCTATGGTACAGAGCTCTTGCAGAAGGCATAGGGTGGGCCAGACAGACCAGGCTTCCTGAGTGAGTTCACCTGGGGCCCCATTGTTCCTTCTCAGCCATCAGGAAAGCCAGGTTGCTGTGCAGGTCAAATGAAAGGATAGCAACGAAGTGCTTCCCTCAGCCACCTTCCTGAAGGGGAGCAATAAAGGCTCTTAACCTGGCTGGACTTCTGCCTGAGCTGTTTGCTCTCTGCACTTGGGGAGCAGTGCCTGGGGAAGACTACAGGGCAGCACTGAGCCCTCCTAGTCTCTCGGTAGCTGCCCTGTGTGGCTGGCTCCAGGATGCATTGTGCCTTCCAGAGAAGGGAACTTCGTCCAGAAACAGGCTTCTTTCTGGATACGTCTGAGTCCCAGTGAGCCAAGAACAGAGTGTCTGTGCAGGCCTGGGCTGTCCTGCCGACCCCGGCCCTGCCCCCATCCCACCCCGGCAATGACTTGTTGGAAAACAGGTGCAGAGCAGCCTCTCCTGTGTGGCCCAGGTAGAGCCAGGGCTAGTGACTCAGGGAGATGCGAGGATCTCGGGGAGCGCCCAGTTGGGGGGTCAACAGGTGGCCAAGCATCCTTAGGATTCGGTTGATCTCCGGGGGTCATTCTGAGGAAAGCTCAGGAGGTGCTCTGATCTGAGCCCTGTAGGGACACAGAGAGGGGAAAGGTGCCAGAGGCTGGCCTGGGCACTGGTCCCTTCCTTGCTGACCCTTGCCCTGCCGCAGGTCTCCTACCGGGCCCAGCAGGGCGACACGCGGCGGGCGGTGCAGAAGATGGTTTTGGTGTGGGTGTTGGCCTTCCTGTTGTATGGACCGGCCATCCTGAGCTGGGAATACCTGTCTGGCGGCAGCTCCATCCCCGATGGCCACTGCTACGCTGAGTTCTTCTACAACTGGTACTTCCTGATCACAGCCTCGACACTGGAGTTCTTCACGCCCTTCCTCAGCGTCACCTTCTTCAACCTCAGCATCTACCTGAACATCCAGAGGCGAACGCGCGTCCGGCTGGATGGGGCTCGAGATGCGTCTGGCCCAGAGCTGCAGCCGGAGGCCCAGCCCTCCCCACCCCCACCTGGCTGCTGGGGCTGTTGGCACAAGGGGCGTGGGGAGAGCCTGCCCCTGCACCGGTATGGGGTTGGCGAGTCGGGCCCTGGTGCTGAGGCAGGGGAGGCCGCCCTCGGAGGAGGCAGTGAAGGAGGCGCTGCCGCCTCCCCCACCTCCAGCTCAGGCAGCTCCTCCAGGGGTGCAGAGCGACCACGCTCACTTAAGCGGGGCTCCAAGCCATCAGCGTCCTCAGCATCGCTGGAGAAGCGCATGAAGATGGTGTCCCAGAGTATCACCCAACGCTTCCGCCTGTCTCGGGACAAGAAGGTGGCCAAGTCACTAGCCATCATTGTGAGCATCTTTGGCCTCTGCTGGGCCCCATACACGCTGCTGATGATCATCCGCGCCGCCTGCCATGGCCACTGCGTCCCCGACTACTGGTACGAGACGTCCTTCTGGCTGCTGTGGGCCAATTCTGCTGTCAACCCCGTGCTGTACCCGCTGTGCCACTACAGCTTCCGCCGCGCCTTCACCAAGCTGCTCTGCCCCCACAAGCTCAAGATCCAACCCCACGGCTCCCTGGAGCACTGCTGGAAGTGAGGGGTCCCTCCATCCGGCCCCCAGGGAGCCACGCCACGGCTGGGGTCACTCGGGCCATCTGTGCTGCAGGGGTGGGCGTGGGGAACCCACGTTGGCTGAACTGGAATGTGGTAGCGCTGCTACCCAAGTCCTGGCTCCATCCTTGAAGGGACAGTCCAGGGCTCCTGACCATGCTGTTCCACCCCGTGGGCAGGGTGCCGCCGCCGCCGCCGCCGCTGCCGCTACTGCTGGTGTCCTTTGCACAGTTACTAGCTGGTGGTCTTCTTTCCAAAGCAAGTGTTTAGTGTGTGTTCCAGACCTCCTGACCCAACACTTGGCTCCTGCACGCGCACACACCTGTACACACCTGGGTACACCTGCACACACCTGTACACACCTGGGTACACCTGCACACACCTGGGCACCATCCTGCTCCCAAACCATGGGCCCCCACCTCTGCTGCTCTCACCCTGCTTAAGCCTAAGGTCTGGCCCCTTCTCCCTCCCGTCCAACATTCTTGCTCCCCAGAAAGTGTCCAGTGACCCCCTGGGAACCTCACAGCTGTTCTCTGCATTTCCATTCTGGGTGTTTTCAGGAAGATGAAGAAGAAGAAAACACGTCTGTGAACTTGATGTTCCTTGGATGTTTAATCAAGAGAGACAAAATTGCCAAGGCGCTCGGGCTGGATTGGCAGGTGTGGGCTCCCACGCCCTCCTCCCTTTGTGCTGCTGCTTCCGGCTGAGCCGCCAGCTGCCTGTCCGCCGCCCAGCACTCTGCAGCACTTTACACAGAACTCCGAGCAAAACTACACACCAACCTGACCCCTTCACTCCAGCCACTCAGCCTGGACAGCACAGGGGTCAGCGCCCCGCCCCAGGGCTCCGTCCAAGGTTGGGGTGGGGCTGGGTGATTGGGCAGAGAGGACCACCTACCCCGCCCAGCCCTGCACCCTTACTCTGCATGCTGCCCAGTGTGCCTGCTGCCCTGCCCACCGAGAGGCCACAATAAAGTGTGGATTCTTTTCATCGGTGCTAATTCCTGAGGACTTTGTGGGGGTGGCCGAGTGGGGAGACAAGAGCTCAGCCAGTGAAGGTAGATGGCTTGTGGGCCTCCCCACACCCCACCAGGTCTCTTTAACATGCAGTGGGACAGGCGATGCACCTGAAGCCTCAACACTAACAGAGGCAGGACTGCAGCCAGGCCCAGCCCTGGCCTCCCATACTCCCAAGATCCGTGAGAGGGCCAGCCCTACACACCTGCTAGGTGACTGGCCGGGCACATGGGGTCCCCAGGGGAGGGGCTTCCCTGCCCATCACGCAGCCCGCCTGCCCATGACAAACTGTGTTCTCCAAGCACTGGGGCAGTGCATCACCCATGAGGTCATGCCCTCCATTGGAGCTCAGACCCCGACTAGCGGGACAACCTCCAAAGATGAGATGTCAACTGAGGGTGTCCATAGTGGGGAGGGACTGCCACTGAGGTGCTCAGCGAGGAAGGGGTATGCCCTGCTAAGCTGCTTTGCAGCAGAGGTGAGGGCTGGCCATAGGCACTCACACAGGGAAAGGGGCTGCGTGGCCCAGGGGGCTTTCAGGGCGGGGTTGCAGCAGAGCTGGAGGAGTTGGTGGGTATGATAGGCTGAGACAGGGAAGGGACAGCTGCCCTTGGAGAGGAGCAAAGGCCTGGAGGTGGGCCCAAGGATGATGGACAGATCACAGCGCCTGTCCAGAGAGCAAGCTATTCCTCCTACGGGTGGCTTCATGACCAGTCCTTGTGGGCTCCACATGGGAGCGGACACTGACTGTCAGCCTGTGGGGTACAAACCTCATTTGGCAGAGGGCAAGGTCAGACCCAACTTAGGAGAGGAGCCACCCTTGCCAGCCAGAGGGCTCCCCTCTCCCCCTGACCACACAGATGCAGCTTCCCTCCCCCACACTCATCACTGGCCTTGCTCTGGAAGCTACAATAACCATGGCTTTCCTCCTCCAGAACCCCCACCCCCATGTAACCCTGCAGGGCTTCGGTGGGACCAGACTCCAGCATCACACTGTCCTCAATGCCTAGACCTCACTCTGTCATGGCTCAGGCCCGCAAACACTGCAGGGGACCAACTCTTCACCAAAACCCAGACCAAACCCACAACCGTCAAGTCCATTCAGACTCCCAGTGACCCAAGACTGTACATCTTGATTGGAGCAGACACCCTCATCTTTCGCCCATGGAGAAGCTGGTGGGTTTGAACCATTGACCTTTGGGTTAGCAGTCAAGTGCTTTAAACACTGCTCTACGTGAGCTCCTAAACTGTTCGCAGCAATATTAAAAAAGAAAAATCATTTAGCTTTGTTTCCTCTAGACATTGTTTAATCCTCCACAGCTGTGCCTGCACTTTCATTTTCCAAATTCCTGGAAAACTACTCTCCGTGTCCTAAGCCCACCCTTTCTGCCCCACCTCTGTCTCCTGGAGGTTCAAGGGACCCCTGGATTCAAGGCCCTGGCCCTGGGCAGGAAGGGAGCTCTGGGTATCCTTGTCCCAGTTTGTGGAAGCCCTCCCCCTGTCCAGGGGTCTGTGCTGTGCTGAGAGAGGTAGACCAGATGCCACCTTCTGCAGCCAGCACCATGGTAGGGACTAGCCGTCCACTGCCCCCGCTGGCCCCAGGCAACCTGGCCTGGCCCTTGTGGGCTCCTGTCCCAGCCCACTGTCTGGACAAGGACAAAGAGCCTGTTCTTGGCAGCAGTGGGCGCGTCCATGCCGACAGCACAGCCAGAGCCACCGCGGCCCCTCCGCCCAGTCCTGCTAAATGGCTGCAAATTGGAGGATAAAAGCACAGGCTTTCAAGCAATTTTGCCTTCAATCTCTGGAAACCGCTGCTCCCGGAGCTCCTGTGCGGACCGGAGGAGGAGAGAAGAAACACAGCATGTCCATCGCCAATGTCTCCAGCAAACAAACACACTCAGGGGGCCCAGGCTGGGGCAGGGGCTGATAAACAACTGATCATCCATAACCAAGGCCTTCCTGCTGGAGGAGTGAGATGTCCACCCGGCACTCATCACCCTACTTGAGCACCGGGTGGGGGTCTTGAGACCCAGAGAGTGCACAGAACAGAGGCATCATGCCCCAGGTGGTCTTGCTGTTAAAGAATAGGAGAGGACTTGGGCTGGAGAAGGTCTGCCTGGAAGTGGTGGTCCCTGCTGACCTCATGGTGGGGGCCTCAGGGCCAAAGGGAAGGTGTAGAGCTGGGGTATGTGACTGGGAAGGGGTGCAGCATCTGAGGACAGGCTGGCCACAAACCGCCTGGTGTAGGAGGCCAGAGCCAGCTGACCTCTGTTACCGCTCTTTATACCTGGGGCTGTTCTAACAAGTGGGTGCCTGCAACAAACAGAAATTCACTCTCTCCTCTGGAGGCTGGAAGTCCTAACTCAGGGTGCGGGCTCTGGAGGAAGGCGTTCTTCCTCTGTCAACTCTGGGGAAAGGCCCTTGCCTCTGAGTTTTTGCTCCTGGCTGATCTTCTTCGTCTCTTTCCCGCTATTTCAGCTTGCTCACTGGCTTTTTTAAATCTCAAAAGAGATGGACTCAAAAGACACCCTAAAGAGTTACTGCTTCACTAAGGTCACAAAGAGACCGCATTCCTAAAATGGGGTGATAGCCACAGCACAGAGGTCAGGGTTTGTAACACAGTTCAAGTCGTGACAGGTGCCCACTGCTAACCAAAAGGTCGGTGGGAGGTAACCCGCCAGGCACTGAGCAGGAGGAAAGATCTGGTAATCTGTTTCCGTTAAGAGTGTAGTTTTGGAAACCGTAAGGGACAGTTCTACTCTGCTACATGGGGTCACTGAGTCTAATGATTCCATGGCACTTAAGAACAAGCTCTGGGATGCTTGGCTAGCTTTTCCTATCAAAACCCACTTAGTTCTCAAACAACCCTAGCAAGTAGGCATGATGGTTCTGGTGTTACAGACTAGAGGTGTGGGGCAGGCTGAGTCACGGATTGTCCCCAGTGCCCTCAGCTCGCAGGACCTTCTTCTCCTTCCTTTCCCAAGCAGACACTCCACCCCACCCTTTTGGCACCCCAGGGACTATGGAACCTGCTCAGCAAATGCACAGGCCTGATTGTGTTGAGGCTTCTTGTTGGGGCCCTGAGGGCATCCCTTACTGCTCCTTCTTCTAACAGCAGCCCCCACTTTTTCTTGGGGAAGCCAGGAGCCAAACTGGTTTCAGAGTGGGTATGGGTGCTGGACGTGGCCAGTCAGAGCCTCTGGGACACATTGGAGTGATACATTCCCTAGCCCAGCCTTTGGGCTGAAACCTTGGGCAGGAAGAAACCCTCTGTAGCTGGGGCAGGGGTGGGCAGACACTGCCCAGGGCCCCCAAGGCTTTTTGGCTTTGGGTCATTGTGGAGAGTGCTCACCTGCAGTGCAGACAATGCAGAGAAAAGCCAACCTGAAAACTGGAAAGAGACAGCTTTCCGATGCCATTGTTCAAACACCTGGATCAAACCTCTCCTGAAGCCAGTATGGCTCTTTGTTTCATAAATCACCAACTACACACTCTTTTTTACAGCCAGCACCAGGTGTTTTGTTTTTTTTGTAACTAATGGAGAAACCCTGTTGAGTCAGACCCCAGACCTATTCTGTGTGAAGCCTTCGTTCCCCCAGTGGTGGGCAGAAGGAATGGACCTACTGCTCCCAAATGTCCTAGTGGGGGCAGTGCTCAATACCCCGGTGCTGAAGGACAGGATGGCTCATCTTTGCTCAAAGGAAGTCTATGCCTTTGATTAATAAAACATGGAAAAATAAGTCAATCATTATTCAGCAATTAATAGTTGTAGGTATTATGAATTGAAATTGTACCAAAATATGTGGGCTGTGGTTCTCTGTGGTTTGGCAGTTATGTAATGATGTCACTTGGCAGTTATGTAATAATGTCGCTTGGCAGTTATGTAATGATGTCATCATCCCCATATGATCCGATGAGATCTGCCCATCAGTGATAAGGGGGTTCGGTTGGATGCTTAACAGGCTTACTCAGATTCCAATCCTGATCCCGTGTAAAGGGAGTTTCCCGGGGTGTGGCCCACCTTTTTTTTTTTTTCCCTACATTACCTTTTATCTTATAAGAGATAAAGCGGGAGATAGATGTGAGCAGAGAAGGAGACCTCAGTACCACCAAGACAGAAGAGCCAGGAGCAGAACGCACCGTTTGGTCCCAGCGTCCCTACACTGAGAACCTCCTAGACCCTGGGGAAGATGGATGGCAGCGTACATGGAGATCTTCAAGGGACACCAGGCAAATGGATGTTGAGACAAGGACCTTCCCCAGAGCTGACAGAAAGCTTTTCCTTAAAGCCAGCAACCTGACTTTGGTCTTCTAGTCTCAACTGTGAGAGTAATTTTGCTTGTGGTATTTCTGTTTACAGCAGCACTAGAACCAAACACAGCAGTCTTTAACATCTTGGGTCCCTAGGGGTGGAAGGCCAGACTGTGGACTCAGGTGCCTAGACATGCGTTTTGTCCCTAGACTGCCACTCAGCCACAGGGCAGTCTGAAACAGCACTGTTCCACACAAAGGCAGGCAGGTGTCTGGCAGGTGCTGAGGGGCCACTGCATTTGGGGATTCTCAGACACAGTCCTCAAATGGCACTATGGCATCCATCAAAGGCAGAAGAGAGGGGAGGACGTGGTGGGAGGCTTGGGAGACAGGGAGTCTTTCAGAACCTTCACCAGACTTCTCGATTCCAAGTTCAAATATGGCACTCTGACCACCTTCAAAGCCTTCAGCTTTCTGTGGCGGTCACGTTAGGGCCCAGCAAACTCTTAAACTCTAGCAGAGGTTTAGGAGCAAGGGCAGCTGCGGGAGGGGGTGCCTAGGTGACAAAACCACAAATTGCTGACAAGCCAGGAGGGTGGGAAGGCTTGCCCGATGCTCCTTTCTGGGCCTTGGGCCACCCTCCCAGTATTCTCAGGTCTCCTCTGCCAGCTGAGGCCTGCGTCAGACATTTACCTGTTGTCCCCAGCCTCTCTGTCCTTGTCCTAGTCCCTCCTATTCAAAAGGCCACCTGCTGCGTGATTCCATTTACACCGAAGTCCAGAGCAGACAAACCCAGAGACAGCAGATCTGCAGTGCCAGGGCCGCGGGGGGGGGGACGGGACGTGGTTGGGAAGGACTGACAAGAGGTCTGGGGCTTCTTTTTGGGGTGATGAGAAGGTTCTGGGATTGGACAACCTTGTAAAGGTACTAAAACCCACGGAATTACATACTTTTAAACAGTAAATCGCATGCCGTACAAACTATGTCAGTTTACAAAAAACAACTGGTACGTGGTGTGTGTCCCTGACACAGGTGGGGCCGGTAGGAAGGAACTGGGTCCAGCTTGACGTTCCAAACAGGAGTAACACGGCAAAGAAAAAACATAGTTGTTTTCTTTTGAAAATTTTATTGTGGAAATATACACATAGCCAAACCCTTGTAATTCCCATTTTCCCATGTACACAATCCAACCCCGCCCCTTATACAACCATCACCACTCTCCATTTCCAAAGCTTTTGTTTCTCTCTTTTCTTTCCCATGTTTTAACCACAGCATGAGCTTTCTTTGTGATGGGGAACAGTTGGGGGGGGGGGGGGAAGGAATGTTCCAGCCACAGGAAAGCAGAGAGCTGGGCATTTTAATGAAACAAGGTTTCCTAGGACTCAGGGTGAGACCCATCCAGTTTTACACTTTGACTTGTGGCTGCTGGTGGGGCATTCATTCCGGGGTTCATAAGCAGGTCTGGCAGGAACAGAGCAGGCTAGGAGGAGCCTTTCTTCAGGAGGATTAGCTCAGAGCTATTGAGAAAGTAGAATTTCAGCAAAGGAGGATGGACAAGTCATAGAGGGCAGAATCGCTGAGGCTTCCGAGTGGGGTGTGGGGCGGGTGGGCTGGGAGTTTAAGTTGACTCAGAGACCGGTCATCTTGATTTCAGCCCCCCACCCCAGCCCTCAGATGGCAGGGTGGGTGGGCCCAGCAGGAAGATGAAAGGCCCGGTGGTAATTAACGCACACTCACTGGCACACTCACTGTAACAAAGGCCTTTGAGGTGGCCTGGCTGCCAGAGCAAAGAGATGCAAAACCCATCTTGGGTTTGAAGACAGAGCAGCTTTGAAATTATGAGGCATTAAAATCAAGCTGGGGTAAAAGGGCTGTCTTGTTCTAGTTGCAGATTTGATGTCAGATCAAAACCAGCCTGTGGGGACAGGCGGGCCTGGCCAGGGTTCCCTGACCACTGCCCCAGGAGGGGAGAGGAACCCTGCCTTAAACTCAGCCCAACCCTCAGCGCCCGAGCCACCTGCCCCCGTGTGACCCTTCCCGTTCTCTCTCCTGTTTTTGCCTGGAGTTGGGGTATTAGACCCAGCTCCACGCCACCGCCACCCAGATATCTCCCCATATTCAGGGTGCAGTGTGCATAAGGCTGAGGGTCCATATCCCCCCAACTCGTCTTGAGGGAAGCACAGTGTGCCCGCCCGGATATTGGGGGCACTGGGCTGTGAAGTATGCACTGTCCCCGCTGGCAAGGCGCCTGGAGTCGGCCCGTGGCTCTTCTCAGACACCATCTCCCGCCAGAATGCCATGGAGCCACTGAGCTTGGCCCCAGAGGCTCCTTTTGTCCCAGTTGATAACAGCCCGCTTTGTGCCCTCAGCCTGGGCACAGCTCACCGGGGAGCCTGTGCTCCAGCAGCATTTACAAGACACAATTCAGCGCTGTGGGCTGCTAATTAAGAGTGCTAATTAAGGCCAATGAGCCCAACCTCAGCAAAGGAGCCAGCCAGGGTGGTGGGTGTGGGCTTCTGGGAGCAGACCTGTGTCAGGTGGTCTGGAATGTTCAGCTCTGGAGGGGCCCTGGGCCAGAGGGCAGTGGTGTACTAGGGGCGAACCCGAGGTGACTGGAAGACAGAAGGCCCAGCTTCTCCCACCCCCCACTCACAGCCACTGTGTTCTCTGACAGGGTCTGTGTGTGCAGCGACCTGGAAAATCCTTTTGTCTACCAGAGCCCCCCTTCACAGGGCTTGCTGTGGGGGCTGGGGGCCCTATCCTGTGAGGTTGTGCCCGGCAGCTGTGTCTGTTGAGGTCGCTACCGGTTCGGTGCTGTGGCCCACAGGCCCACTCTGCCTCCGCCCAGCCGTCGTGCAGTCGTGCAGTTCCTTCAGGCGTAGCAGCAGTGCCTCCAGGTTCTCGCCGGTGACAGCGGACAGCGGGGTGAGCGGCTGGCCCAGGCGTGCCTGGAGCTCAGGCAGGCGGGCTCTGGCCTCAAGGAGGTCAATCTTGTTGGCAACGATGACGTGGGGCCTCTGGGACAGGCCTGCTTCGTACTTGTCCAGCTCAGTCTTCAGATCCTGGAACTGCACCCACGGCTCGGGCACTGAGAGGTCGAGCACGAACAGCAAGAAGTGGCAACGCTCGATGTGGCGGAGGAAGGCCAGCCCCAAGCCTCGGTTCTGGTGCGCGCCCCTGATGATGCCGGGGATGTCGGCCACTGACAGGAGACACGGCACAGGGTCACGGCCACGGCCACCGGCACCCCCCAGCTGGAGCCCCAGGTGACCGGAGACGCGAGCACAGCAGAAGTCTGCCTGGAAAATGCTTGGCAGCGCCTGGAGCCCGGCTGGCTCTAAAATGGAGTCAGAAACGGTGGCGGCACACCTCACTATTAGATTACAGACAGAACGATGGCCGAGCACTTGGCAGAGACAAAGGGCCACACAAATCACATCACATCCAGCAGACGCTCCCTGCTTAGCGAGGACATCACCTTCTGAAGCGCACAGGGAAAGCCAGTGAAATCACGTTTGCTACGTGACTGGTGTGCCGTCCCCCCGGGAGAGCGAGCTGCCCAGGGCTGGAGTGCAGCAGCTCCCTCAGGTTTGAAAGTCCCCAAAAGGAGCCCGCCTCACTCGGACACAAAATCCCACCTGTCACTTGCTGGTGGTCTTCGTAGTGCACGACACCAACGTGGGGCTTCAGGGTGGTAAACGGGTAGGCAGCCACAGCTGGTCTCGCGTTGGAGATGGCGCGGAGCAACGAAGACTTGCCTGCGTTGGGAAAACCGACCTGCAGACAAAGAGTGGACGACCCCAGGACTCTAGAAAGTGACCCCAGAGCCACGAGCCCATCACGATGGAAGTGGGGAAGGCAGCCCTGAGGGACAGGGGAGTGGGAGCCCATGCCCAGTTCAGCAAAGCGAGTGCCAACACATACTTCCCCCTAGGTACTGCAGATGACTGTGGTACCCCTGCCCCCTCAGGCATCTGGGACAGAGCGGATGGCACAGAGATACCCACCATCCCTGCATGGGCCACCGTCTTGAGCTCCAAGAATAGGACGCGCTCCTGTCCAGCCTGCCCCGGGGTGCAGGTCATGGGGGCACGGTTGTCATTGGCCAGGAAAAAGCGGTTGCCTTTCCCTCCTGCACCCCCAAGGGCGGCGATAAACTCGTCGTCTGGGCCCGAGAGGTCAGCCACGGTGTCCTCTCCCTCCTTGACCAAAGTGCCCAGGGGAACCTGGCGGGACAAGTTCAGTGAGGGCAACAGGCGCAACACAGGCCCCTCTGTAACTGACCTCTAAGGCAGATGCGTGAGGAAGATGTGACAAGAGGGAACAAGGCCCAGTCTGCTGGGGGCAGTGGTGGGCTGACACGCTCCCCCCAGGACAAAGCTGTGCTGGGTGTGGGGGTGGGAGGGCTTCCTCCTCAGCTTAGAGACACAAGGGAGGACTCAGTGGGCTCTCCCTTCGAGAAAGCGCCACGTCGTGGATTTGTGATTAGATCACGCATGCCCATGGTCTGCAGGTCTGCCTCTAGGAGTCACACTATGGAACCTAGGGTAAGGGAAGCAGGGTTGATGTGGCCACCCTCCAGCTCACCCGGATGTAGAGGGGACCCCCATTCCGTCCAAAGCAGTTCTTCCTGCCGCCATCCTCGCCGTGGAAACCCTGGTAGCGAGACAGTACCGCAGACAGAGACTTGAGCTGCCTGTCAACTGAAGGAGACCATCTACTTAGCGTCCACTTACAAACATGACAGATGTGCACGGCAACATGGAACACAATCACAGACGTTACTAAGTCGGTAAAGTGTACTATCAGAAGCTGCTTGGAAGCACTATCTAAATCCGAAGTCCAGATAATAAAAACAACGCCATGGACCAATCTGTACTTCACATTCGTGTCAGGATCTGCAGGTGGGAACCCACCTCTCAGCACCACGTGCCCCCCGCCCTGGGCACCTGCCTCTCAGAATGACGTGGCCGCCACTGCCTCCATCACCACCACTGGGGCCTCCGAACTCCTTCCGGGGCTCGCTGAAGAAACAGCTCATCCCACTGCCTCCGTCTCCCCCTCGGACGAGCACTCTCCGGTGATCCACAAAGTACCTTTTCTGCCAAGAGCACAGGGCACCCCACATTGTTAGGGATACTTCATATCTTCCCACAATGAACCCCTGAAACAAGTGCCTTGAGTTCATCTTTAAACCCTAAACCAAATATATCCACTAAAATCTTCTTAGAACCAAACAGTTGTTGTGAAGTGCCGTCGAGTAGGTTCCGACCCATAGTGACCCTGTATAGGGTTTCCAAGGAGCAGCTAGTGAGCTTGAACCACCAACCTTGCAGTTCAAACGGCTTTGCAGTCTGGCGCATTAACCCACAGCGCCACCCCAAGCAGTAATTCAGCTCAACTAGCAAAGAATGTCTGCTTTGAGCAGTGTGGTCTTTGAAGCTCTCCCAACACAGGACCAAACCGACAATAGCAATTTGTAAGGTCAGACAGGAAACTTAGGGGCAGTAGGGTTTGTTCCTGGAAGAGAACCAGCTCAGAAAAGGAGGGTGAGAATGCTCGTAGAGTTCAAAGACGTCACCACTGTCCCTGGACAGGACACAGAGAAACTACTGACTTGGTGTGTGTGCACCAGTCACAGTTACTACAAAACCCAATGACAAGGGAACATCAGTAAAGGCTGCTGCAAAACCACACATGGATTTTTACATAAAAATATCACTATTGGAAGCTGTTGTTACTCCACACATCTAGGTCTGTCCATTCTGAAGGAAGTGTACCCCTCCCCTGAAGAATGCTGGGCTCTCTGATTTACTCATCTTGGCATCATTGAGGGACTCAAACTGTGTTCCTTTTCAATGTCCTTTGAGTTTGGGGAACAAAAGAAGTCTGAAGGGACAAGCTCAGGTCTGTGGGGCAGACGGAGTGAAGCATCTCAACAGCATTCTCCTAGGACAGGCCTTGCTAGCCCTGAAGAAGGTGCAGGTGTGCTGCTGGGATGGGAATAACCCTCAGCACAACTCCGCTGACCTTTTTCTCACCAGCAGTTTCCCACTTTCTTAAAACGTCTTCCTAGTAAGCTCTCATGATCACACTGTGTTCTTTGATAAAATCTGTCAAGATGGCTCCTTTGGGGTCCCCAAATACAGTCCCCGTTATAACCTTCCGAGTGTACCTCTCGGTCTTGTATTGAACTGGCCCAGCAGGTCCCCTCAGAAGCCACTGATCTGATTGGGCCGCTTTCATTTTGAAGGCACTCTAACAAGACTAAGACAAGTGTGTTACTGAGAGATCCTGTCTGCAGAGACGTGTTTAAATACATTTTGTTTGGATTAAACCTGTGCATATGTGAGCTGGAGTCCTAGTAACAATACTTTCTGACTTGCCTTCATATTAAAAAAATTAATAGATCCACCCGGAAGCTCACAAAGCCATCTGAAATGGACTCAGAATGAGAAGTTCACCCTAACTGCCACCTGCTCCTAAAACCCACATATGACAACACTTCCCACAGGCCACGAGTGTTCGTCGGCACACGGGAATCAACAAAGCAGACGGGAGGGGCAGCATGGGTGCACGCTTCTGTACAAACTCGACACTTCCAATCAAGAGCAGTCTACAGAAGAACTTGCCCCAAATTCAGTGCCCTTCCAGCCAGCCAGGTTTCTGTTCCAGATCGACATTTATGGGCATCATCGGCTTTTTTGTCATGGGCAGAAGTGCGGGTTCCTCAGGACCCAGAGAGTGAGTGGAAGAACAATTCTTGGGCCATTCATCAGGTTTCTATGGCGGCCTGCCTTTATGTAAAAATCCATGATTTCTAAAATCCCACCTCTCACAGGGTTTTCTCAATTTCTCCACAGGCCCCAAAGTTAGGCACGTGCTAGTTAAAGACTCAGCATCCACTAACTGCTTGTGGTTCAGTGCTAGTCTACTCCATTCAGACTCATAGTGATCCTGTATAGGGTTTCCGAGGAGTGGCTGGTGAGTTTGAACCACCGACTTTTCGGTTCAAACAGACCTTGCGATCAAGTGCTTATCCTACAGAGCCACACCAGGACTCCACTCATTAACTTTATTGTTGTCCGTTCCAACTCATACAGACCCTGTGTAGGGTTAATATTTAATAAGTTAAATTAATTTTTAATAAGTGAATAAGCGTTGACAAATTCTACAAGCATCCGATCTGCGTGGCCCCATGACGCTGTGTTGGCCGCCTTCCTCACTGTGTGAGCACGTGACTCCGTGCGCTGGGGTTCTGCCAACAGAACTAGAGCAGCTGCGTCTCATTAAGCACATCATACACGGATCTTATTCATTTTGTTTGTAAAGAAAACACACAATATTTTACGATTCTTTGGCACCACCACATGGAAAAACCATGAATTACGACTTTAAAAACTCAAGAGCCAATCCAATGGGCCAGTTGCTCTGCTAGACAAATAGCAGAGCCTCTCCTCTGTGAGTCTCTCAGATGGGGACTACACAGAGCCAAGTTTAGGCATGGTCACCGTGGCGATGGCTGCACAGCGTAGTGTGGCGCTGAACTAGGTGGCAGAGGGGCTGAAACGGCACATTTCGTTGTATTTACTTCACCATAGTACCAATGCAGGAGCCAACACTGAGTCAGAAACTCACCCTGATGGGTGTGCTGGAGGGACACTGGCTCAGCCCTCACCTTCTGGGGAAAGACAGAAGCCCAGTGGAAACGGCATGACCAAAGCAATATACTGGACGTCATAGTTTTTCCACCAAAAGGGGGGAATGTGCCCATCTGTCCTAATCACATTTACTGGGAGCCTCTCCGCTTAGGAGGAAACGGAATGGGTCACAGACCTGTGTTTTCCTGAATTTAGTCAAAGACCATTCGTGTTTGAAATACACGACAAGGCCTGTGCACCCTCCCATGCAGCTAAGGACACAACACAGGTGGGGTTTCACTGGGAATCTCATGCAGCAGTCTTTCGGTGCTGTGTTCACCACCTCCCAGAAGCACTCTATGAACCCTGGTGGCACAGTGCTCCAGTGCTCCGCCGGAGAGACAGTGGTATTCCACGTCAGTACAGACTCGCTGGGCAGTGCTCTGTCCTACGGTCACTAGGAAGCAGAATTGACTGTAGGGACGTGTGTTCCTTCAGTCTCATCACAGGATCAATGAAAACAAGGCAGCAAGGAGAATTCCGGGGGAAAGGGCAGAGAGTTCTTACCAGTTTTTTTTCAGAAAGCGGTTTCTTCTGTGGGGACTCCTGGTGCTTGGCAGAGCTGGCACAGCTAATGCAGAAGAGCCGAGAAGCAGGCTCCAGGGGAAGGAGCTGGCTGGTCTGCAGGATGGCCTGGCTGGACAGGGCCCAGCGCCCCAGAACCTGCAGTGTAGTCGGCTGTCTTGCCGAGAAGAGCCTGCCCGGTATCATGGCTATCTGACAAAAGTCTATCTGCAAAATAATTAAATAAATGAATACAATGCTGAGTTTAAACCTAACCATCCACTTGAATCCAGACGGATGTGACAGAGACTTCCAGACAGATCAATGAGCAGTAGCCACGCCTTTCCAACACCACTGACACCGCGTACTGGGGACTAGGAAGAGCATCTTGGCCCCTCTGCCTGAATGCTAGTTGAGGACAGAATTTTGTGGAGTAGATGGAATTAGATCAGGAAATCCTGAAACATCAAATATCCGCTAAACTAAGGGAATCAGACCTCCCGTCAAATTTCTCATCAGCCCTGTCTCCAGGATTCAAATGTTAGTGAGTGGGTTACCGTGGGTGGGCTACGGCGTGTAGCCTTTGGGCCGTGAGTCTGTGCACTGTAGGGGCGAAGGCCCACTTGCTCGGACAATCTGTGTGCCGCCCTCGTCGTGAACTGAGCAGGGTGAGTGGATCCGTAGGGGCACTGACAACAGGGCCTGCGCACATGCTCAGCGAAGGGACTTTGTGCCTCTGAAGGCTCAGTGGTGCCTCTGCTGACTTTCACGACCTGGGGTCATGGGCCAAGCACCCAGTGTACACCGGCAGACACACACGATGTCTGCAGCAGCCCTGATTATACACATCAAACTCGGGAGCAGCAAGATGGTTCTTCAAAGGGTGAAGAGAGCTGGCACACCACAGGAAGGCATGGCAGAACCCTAACTGCATTCTGCTAAGGAAGCACTCCTGGGTGGCTCAAACAGTTCAGCGCTTGACTGCTAGTTGAAAAAAAGGCAACTCGAGCCCAACGTCAGGGCAGGCAATCTGCTTCTGAAAGTCACAGCCTTCAACACCGTATGGCACCCACTTCTGCTTGGCATGCATGGTGCTGCCCTGAGTGGGAGTCGACTCACGGCAGCGAATATAATTGTTAAGTGAGGAAGGCAGCGTTAGGAAGCTGCGTCGGGTGTGATTTTCAGTGTATGTCACTGCCTGCCAGAAAGGCAGCAGAAGATCAGTGCTCAGTCCTGCTCTGAGGGATGAAGAAGGGATGAACAGTTGGAGCAGAGGCCTTTTTAGGGCCATGAACCTTGCATGCTGCTGTATTAGTGGGCACAGGAAACCACCAATGTGTCAACACCCACACACTGTACAACTGACAGAGTGGAACCCTCATGTGGACCATAAACTCATAGCTAATCATGACGCATCGAGTGCTGCAAGTGGATCACAGGAATGCAAAGTGTTCATGAGAAGACCCAAGGAGCATCCTCTGCACCCTGTCACCCTGCGGCTGCCCTAACACACAGTGGCCAGGTACACCTCGCTCTACGGCATTGTCTACAAACTGAAGGTCACACAGGTCCACAGCACCATTTTCCCATCAGCACGTGCTCCCTCGGAGTGTCCGTCACATTTTGGCCCTTCTCACGATATTCCAAATGTTTTCACAATGCTATTCCCTTGACTTCACTGACTACTGGCCAGACTTCGTCTCTGCTGCTTTGGACATACTGCCAGAAAGGAGCAGTTCCTGGAGAAGGACAGCGTGCTCAGTAAAGTAGGGGATCAACAAAACAGAGGAAGACCTCCCACAGGATGAACTGACACAGTGGCTCCTACAATGGCCTCAGATGTGACAACTGCGAGGGTGATGCAGGACCAGACAGTGTTTCATTCTGTTGTGTAGGGGGTGGCCGAGTCAGAATCCGCCCCATCGTTGGCACTAACAACTACAACACTGCACACCTAATAAACTACAGGCCAGTGCCAGCCTAACGCGCACGCTGGGACACTGGAAAACGTGTGGGGCCTGTTTAGGGAGAGATTAGCTTTACTGCCTGGAACCAGCCCTCCGTATCCCTGAGGTGTGCCTGCGTACATTTTAAAAAGAATACTTATGATCTCCATTTTCCAGATGAGGAAACGGAGGCAAGGAGAGGTGAAGCAGCTTCCCCCAGGTCACGTGATAGGAGCCAGCGGGGTGGGAATGTGATCACAGGCTGGGCAGCCGTCCCCGGTACAAGCACACACAGCCGACCGTCCATTGGGCACACCTGAGAAGGCCCAGTCACAGAGAAGGTGACAAACAGCAAAACCAGCCAGCGCTGAGTTCCAATCTGGCTGAATGTGGCCTAGGAGAGCCCTGCCGAGCTCATACCTGCTGATGACATGGCTTTCCATGCCTGCAAAGCGACTGCTCCCTAGTGCTGTTTGGTGTCTTTATTGCTTTCCAATGAGGCATGACCAGCGCTCAATTTTTACTAAAATGAGAAGTTCAGGTTCTTTGTTGCCCGGGTCACACTGTAAATGCTCAGTCATGTGGCGAGTGGCTACCACATTGGACAAGGCAGACAACGGCATTGGTGATGCCAAAGAAATCCTTGGGGCCAGCGCTGGTCTGGGGGGCAGTGGGAAAAGGGGGTGGAGATCCCTCCCATGAGCACCTGGCAGAGAGCAGTACAGACAGCAGGAAGAGACCGCTGAACACGCAGCCACCGCCGCAGCCACAGACCATGACTCGCAGTCACCAAAAGTCACAAGCCACAGGGAGAAGCCGCAGCAAAGTTGTAAGACTGCATCAGTATTAACAAGTATACCACTCCAACATGAAACCCCAAAACCAAACCCACAGCCATTCAATGGATACCAACTCATAGCAACCCTATATTGGGTTTTCAAAAATCTTAAGTCTTTAGGGAAGCACGCAGCCTCATCTTTCTCCTGCAAAGTGGCCCGTAGATTTGAACCACTGACCTTGCCATTACAGCCCAATGCCTAACGCACAGTGTCAGCAGAGCCCCCAATAACAACGCAAGCTGGTAATAACAGGAGAAACTATGTGCCGAGGGGAGAAGGGCTCAGGGGAACCCTCGGTACTGTCTGAGCAATTTTTATTCAGTGTATTTGAAAGAGCCCAGTCATTCCGTCAGAGAAAGATGAGGCTTTCTGCTCCTGTAAAGGTTTACAGCCTCAGAACACCTGAACAGGGTTGCCATGCATGGGAACTGACTCAACAGCGCAGCACAGTGTATTTTCCGTGTTCTGTGGCCCGGTCGGTCAGTGGCGGGTACGGGCCTACATCAGACGTGAGTGCTGTTGTCCTCCAGGACGGTTAAGCTCAGCATCCACCGGTGCACAAAATCTATTACTTGCCAGGAACCACTTCTAAACCTGCATCAATTGCCGCATTTATTCACAGTCATCCGAATGTGAATGGAGTCCAGGTTGTGCCATGGGTTAAACATTCCGCTGCTAGCAGAAAAGATGGTGATCCAATCCCTAAAAGATGAGTTTAGGAAACCCTATGCAGTAGTTCTGGGGTCCTGGTATGTCGCTGTACAATAAGCACTGGACTGCTAACCAAAAGGCTGGCAATTCAAACCCACCAGCCACTCCTTGGAAACCCTATACAAAGCCAGCATGGGGCAGTTAGTTTGACTCTGCCCTGTAGTCAGTATGTGTCAAAATTGACTTGGAGGGTAGGGTTTTGCTTAGAATTTTTACTGAGGGGGGAAGTGTGTATGCTGTACTTCTGGTACGGTGACACACGGTAAGCACTGGATTAACCAAAAGGTTGGCGGTTTAAACCCATCAGAGGCTCCTTGGAAACCCTACACAGGGTTACTGTAAGTAGTAACCTACTCGATGGCCCCTAATAACATGTATGCTGACTATCTGCCTTTCTCTTGTTCTTCCAGACATACTTTAGGTCCTCCCCTAAAAATTCATTTATGGATACCCTCATTGTTGAGTCCATTCCAGCTCACAACCCCAAAAGGAACAGCAGAACTGCTGAGGCTGTGCATCTTTCAATTCCTGTGGAGCGGCTGGTGGGTTTGAACTGACACTTCAGCAGTTCACTGTGGAGCTCACTGAGCCACCAAGTCTCTTGGGAAATAATCGATTTCATTGAGAGCCCTCACTTTTATCAAAGTGGCTCAATTATAAATAAGTTTATCCTTGTTTAATAAACATTTATCAAAATGTGTACATAATGGCTATTTTTATGTAACTGTATACTATTAAGGAGTCCTGCTAGCACAGTGGGATCAATGGGGTGGCACTGTGGGTTAATGCACCACACTGCAAAGCTGATTGAACTGCAAGGTCGGCGGTTCAAGCTCACCAGCTGCTCCTCAGAAACCCTATACAGGGTCACTATGGGTCGGAACTGACTCAACGGCACGTAACAACAACAACATAGCGTAGTGGTTACAAATCAGGCTGCAAACCGCAAGGTCAGCAGTTCGAAACTACCAGCTGTTCCACAGGAGAAAGATGAGGCTTTCTGCTCCCGTAAAGATTTACAGCCTCAGAAACCCTGTACAGGGTCGCTATGAGTCGGAACCAACTCCCCAGCACATAACTAACCAACCAATGAACTAAAAGGTCAGCGGTCTGAATACACTGGCCGCTTCTCGAGAGAAAGATGAGACAACCTGCTTCCATAAAGACGTACAGGCTCAGAAGCCCGATGGGGCAGTTCTACTCTGCCCTCTAGATCTATAGGGTCACTCACTATAGGAATCCGAATCTACTCAACAGGAATAGGTTTTGTATAACTACTACTAATGTAAGGATGCCTGGTATGGTGCTAGAGGGTAAGCACTGGACTGTGAACCACAGGGTTGGCAGTTCAAACCCCAGCTGCTCCTTGGAAACCCTATACAGGGTTGCTGAGTTGAAATCGACTCCACAGCACTTAACAGCAACAATAATTGTAAGGATTTCTAGTGTGTAGCTGTAGAATAAGCACTGGATTGCTAACCACAAGGTTGGAGGTTCAAACCTACCAGCTGCTACTTGGAAACTGTATACAGGGTTGCAATGAGTCAGAAATGACTTGGCAGCACTTCACAACAAAATATATAGACACTGTTCTGGTGATGCAGCGATTAAGCACTCAGCTGCTATCCTAATGGTAAGCAGTTCAAACCCACCAGATGTTAATTGGGAGAAAGACACAGCAATGCATTAGACTCGAAGTTGTGGTATTATATTCGGGATACTTTGTTGTTAAGTGTGGTCAAGTCTGTTCTGATGCAGTGACCAGTACAGGGTTTCCAAAGAGCAACTAGTGAGCTTGAACCTCCCTCTGTGGTTCAAACCGACTTTGCAGTCCAGCGCATTTACCCACAGCACCATGCCAGGATTCCATTCGAGATATAGATATATAAAATACCGCAGTCCTGGTGCGACACCGTAGGATAATGCACTGGGCTGTGCCAGGATTCCATTCGGGATATAGATATATAAAATACCGCAGTCCTGGTGAGACACTGTAGGATAATGCACTGGGCTGCAAAGTCAATTTGAACAATAATTGTAAAGAAACATCTGGAAACATTTTTTTTTAATACTTAGAACCTTAGACGAAACGAGATTTCTGCAGAAAAGTAGAGAAATACAAATTCTAAGCAAACATGTGCACGGTGATTTTTCCTATTAACTAGGAGTAATCTGAAAGTCCTGAGTTCGAGCCTCAGAGGGGGCAATTCTGCTGGATGTCTTGGTGTGGCGCTGTGGGTTTGAATCACAGTCTGGGGTTCAAACTCACCAGCTGTTCCTTGGAAGGTCTAGGTAAGGTTGCTATGGGTCAGAACCGACTTAACAGCAGGAGTTCTGGTGCGGCGCTGTAGCATAAGCCCTGGACTGCTAACCGCAAGGTCGGCAGTTCAAACCCACCAACCACTCCTTGGAACCTCCTATACCGTTCGCTGTGAGTTGGAACGGATTCGGCGGAGGAGGATGAGTGTGGGCTGACCACACAGGGTCCCCGCACATCCCAGGTGTTATGCAATGAATGGCTGTCTCTCTCACACCTTAGCATCCTTTGCAGGTGCAGGACTAAAGCTAGAATGGACGCTGCACAATCCTAGTCACGTGGCAGCATCGGCGCTGAGCGGCGCGCGAACACCGGCGATTGGAACGGGCAGCAGCGCCCGGCCCGGACTCGCCTCCGCTCATGTTGCGTCTCCAGGACAGCGCGGCACTCGGCCGTCCCGTCGCTGAACGAACGATCGACACGGGCTCAAGTGTCGCCGGGACACCAAGCTGGAGTCTCGGACCGCCCCGGGCGCCTCTCTAATCCCGGGTTAGTCCGAACGGCGCAAGCACGCACTCACCGGCTCAGAAGAAACATCACTACTTCCGGGTCATTCGCGCTCGGAGAGGGTTACTTCCGGGACCGATCGGCGCACGCAATGTCCCGCCCCAGGCGCGCCTGCGCTGGGTTTCCCGGCACGCAGGTGCAGAAGCGAGCGGACCCGGGAGAGGACTGCGGTGGTCTCGGCCCGGGTGTGCATGATGGCCTGCCGCCGGGACCGGCCTCTCGGAGGCGGGCACCTCCACCCACGGCCGCAGAGTAGAGGGGCCCCATACAAGCCCGCAGGCTGCCGTGCCGAAGACCCCTGGGCAGACCACCGGGGCCAGCGTGTGGGTGGCAGCTGAAACGGACTGTCCTATCTGTACGCGGCCAGTGCCGAGCCTGGAGCGGGGTGTGCAAGGGTTCCCTGTGGCGGCCGCCCTCCAGCCTCGGCGCTGTTGTCCTTGTTTAGAATGCCTTCGATATTCTAGCCCATCAGATTGCCGATGATACCTACCATACTGCCGATCCTTAACTTGGGACAAACTTAGAACTGTCTGCTACGGAGTAAAGGAAACAGCTCGGAACCGCTGTCATAATGGGCCCGAAAAGTGGACACTGCCAGGTCAACCTTGAACACGGCGTCGCTCCCACCTCCCCACTGCTGAGGAATGCAGTGTAACTGCACTTGGACACTGTCTGAGTCGTCGTCTCCACCGAGCCCTCCATCAACCCAATGCAGCACACAATCGTCTGCTCGACTCCCACTCGGAGACTCTCATCTTCCACCGAACCCACCTTGCGCTTGGCAGCACCACCATGATGTCCGTATAACCCACAGGCTCCATTAACCAGTGTTGGCTTGTGATCACATCCCATTACTATCACAAAAACTTGCTTATGGGAGGACTTTGGAAGAACCAGTTTATTAATAGATGACACCAAAAGCATTAACAATTTCACACAGAAATGACTGAAGGGGAAAAAAGGATTTTAAAGAAAAAATAATACAAATAACGAGTTTGACCTGTTCAGTAAACAGAGATGAAGTAATGACTAAAAAGCTGGAAACGAAAACAGAAACAGGAGTCATCTTTTTTTTTTAAATAACTTTGAATGGATGTCCAAAAATCAAACCTACCATAAACACAATCAGAGGCTTACTCCAACTGAAAGAGCACATTAAGTTTTCCCTTAAGATCCTAGAAGGCTTTGTCCACCTTAATACTGTTTGTAATGGCTCCTGACATGAGTCCTAAGATCATTTTCAATATGCTACGTCCAAGGATACCGTTAGTTCAACAACAAACGCTAATGGGCGATGAGCTTTTGCACACGAGCATGACGGTCAGCACTTCCGGAAACGCTGGGCATGATTTTTTAAGTTCATTGTTTGTTGGATGACAGACTAAGGAAGACAGGGTTGAGTTTCCCAGTCTTCCTTAGCAGCTTTACTGGCTTTCTGTGATAGTCATCAACACAAGCACCATCAAGCACACATCACGAACGAGTCATTTTAGCCTAATAAGCCTTTTTTCAAACATTTTTCAAATATTCATATTACAGAAAAAAAGATGTAATACAATTAATGAAAAAGAATCGCTGGCGTCACTTTGTCCCCACAATACAATAGTACATAAGAACAGACAACACATTAAATAAACATTCTGTTATTAATCATTAAATATATTAACACCAAAAATCATGTATAAATTAGGAAATCAATGTACAAACTATTTTGCAAAGTGCTTTTCTTTAAATATATACACAACATTCAAGAAATTCTTAATGTAAGACATTTCAGATGGAAGTTTTGGGATAAGTTTTTCCTTTAAGCGTCCGTTTTTCCCAAAAAGGTATTACTACAGCACTTGAAAAAAAAAAAAAAAAAACCCACACAAAAGGTATATTCCCAGATTGACAAGGAATAAAAATAAATGCAGTTTTCACAGTTCCCTAAAGTATTACCATATTCAGTGGGAAATTTGAATTCCCACTTGAGTTTACAAATTACATAAAAATTGTCAGGAAGTTAAAGAACAAAATCGAGGGACAGGATTCCCTAAACGAGGCTGCTAATATCGTCATTATTTAGCAATTACGAACTCGCGTGTCAGCATTGTTGTATGGGTATACATATTTCAAGTCCTTACCAACGTTAAGGGTCTTAGAAACCCATGCCTACAAAGCAACTGCTCACGTCCCTTGTATGCAGGGAGTGTGTCCTAGAACCAGACCGCGATGGTAAATCGTCATCTGAGCCTGGTCCTCATCTGTGAATGGGAACCCTAACTTCCATAAATACTCCCACAATCCAGTGTAGACTGTCAGGCAACTTCAAGTGAACACACAGATGTGCCCTGTAAATTGTAAAGCATGAATGTACTATGCTTTTTTATTTGTAAACTATAAAGCATATCAATGAAAAGTATTGTGTTCAGCAGGTCTGACATCCAGGACGGATACCTTTTGCATTCCCCTGGTCATTTTTGGAAATGACATCTATCCGAAGCACTTCTTTTTTAAAGGGTCCGCGGACAATACGAACATTATCATCCAAGGAAAGGTCAATCAAATACCTGCTCTCCACATCAGTGGGCACGTCAGCGTGTGCCCAGGATCTCACTTCTCCCTGTGAGCTGGCCTGAGCGTGTGCACAAATTCTGAGTGATACAGAATGGCCTAGTAATGTTGAAATGACACAAATATCTCTACATAAAACCATTACTTTTCCTCAGGAGGGACACTGTAAAGTTACTGGGGTTCCTTTTAAATCTTTAAAAATAAGGCGAGCCCTGGTGATGCATTGGACTGCTAACCATAACGTTGCCCGTTCAAACCCACCAGCCACTCTGCAGGAGAGAGATGGGGCTTTCTGCTCCTGCAGAGGTCTACAGACTTGAACACCCAGCAGTGGGTTTGGTTTTAGGTTATTAAAAACAAGACGTGCATTTCAGACAACCCTGATAAGAAAAGGAATGCTTGCTTGCTTGCTTGCAGATCTGAACAAGTGGGTCCTGGAGAAGTAAAATCAAGTAGCTAGCTGGCCGATGACTAGGAAGATTTGGTCTCGATATTTAAACTTCTTGCTAAATTTAGGACATGATATAGTACATGTTCAAATCCCAGCAGTGAGTATCAGATAAACTAGGGCCATAACCCGAGTCATTTCTAATGCTCTTTCTGGCAGCAGTCAATCCACTCTCCTTTGTGGATTCCTATTTACTTGGACCATGGTCATTGATCCCTCTTTACTTTTTATTCAAAACGATGGAACTATCTGGAAAACGGAATCCACGTGAGACACAGCTAATGAGCAAGCTCTGGAAATGACTGTTCACAGCCTCTCCGGTAACGATGTATGTCCATCCTAGGCACGGCTGGGATAGCCACTGTCCTGTGGCTCAGAAGAGGCTGCCTTCAGGGCTTGGGGGTGGGCCAGCTCGAGAAGTTTAGAACCCAGGTCAGGGCCGGTGCACCCACAGAAAAGCCAGCCCTGAGGCCTGCCATGTGAAGGCTGGGATTCAGTCTTTTCCATCACAGATGACAACACGATCCCTACAGCTAGCTAGAGACATTGAGGAACGGGGAGGCAGCGACATACAACACCGTACACAGCACCGAATGTGGCACACCACCCACGCACGGTCTGGACCGGTGCGCACAGCTGGCGTCAAACCCAGCAGGAGATGAGCTTCACAGGCAGGTGCTGTGAAGAGGGACGCGTCAGGCAGAGGGGAACCCCTGGACTGCAGCTCATCAGAACTGCCGCCAGTCCCTCCGCTCACCCGATGGACACGCTGCTGCAAGGGCACCGACCAGAATGCTCACTCCTTACTGCTGGTAATTCCCATACTGGCCCTGAAAGAGAGGCGGATGCAAGTCAATCTCCAGATGAGTGTGGAGAAGCCCCTCCCCCGCCCAGGGCCAACATCTAAGGTTGGCAGGGGGAAAGGGGAAGATATGGGAGGGAGCACAGTGCCCCGAGCAGTAGGCACCAGAATCCAAGTGCAGGGCTTGTGAGACTCAGTTGGGCATTCACTGTATGTCCCCACACAAACGTGTGACAAAGGAAGGCTTAGCGTTGGCTCTCAGCCCCACACGATGGACACCACTACCCAGCAAGCTGAGCCAACGTTCGCCAATGTGAAATTGGAAGGAAGGGCAGGGCCCCGGTATGTGGACTGTCAGGGAGGAAGGCCCCTGGCCGCCCCCCCACCCCCAGCCTCCACAGCAGCCGTGTCCACCGCCTCAGTGAGCCAGGAGGGAGTCATTGCCAAGCACAGGCTGCCCTTCTGGCACAGAAATCACCTTCTAGAATGGCCCTGGGTGCCCGTCTGGCCACGCTGTCCCCACAGAACCCATGCCTGGATGCCCCCAGGAAGCTTGCCTGCTCGTAGCCATAGGGTCTCTGCTGCTGCGCCGAGGGTCCCGTCTGAGATGACCGATAGCTTCCGTACTGCTGGCCTTGTCCCTGCTGGTAGCTAGAATACTGTGCGGGGGCACCCTGGGCAGGCCCTGAGGAGACGCACCAGGAGACACACCTCGTCTCTAAGACACCTGGTACCTGCCATTCAGGGATGTGGAATCGACCCCACCCCTCCCACAGAAGCCCGTGTCCCAATGCAACGACCCACCTACAAACAATAGCACAAGAAGAGGGTCACAGTAATGACCAGAGGGGACACCTGGCACCCCCTGGTGTGATCACCTTGTGGTCCTCCTCCCAACTAGCACCACCTCAGTCTGACCATGAGAAAACCACCAGACACACCCAAACTAAGGGACCTCCAAGGACACTTGATCAGGTCTCCTCTGCACTGCCAAAGTAGCTAAAACCAAGGCTAAAGGGCTGGAGGTGACACAATGGGCAACTGTGATATGGGTCCTGATGGGGCAACGGTGGTGTGCCCACGATGCTTTCCCTGCTGTGACAGTCAGACACAGTCAAACACTGCATTACTGATAAGGGAGCAGGGGGTTAGGTAGCCAGTAATGTTCGGTACTATCTTGCTACTTTCTACAAGACTAAAACCATGCTGAAACATAACACTTGTTAAAAATGTATCCCCTACAGTCTGGTAAATACTGGTAGGACCCTAAAGACTATGGCCCACTGTCATCCTTCAATCCTGGAACTGACCTCACCCCCATGGCCTCTAAGGAGGTCCACACTCCTCAGAACACTTAATCACAGCGTATCAGCAGGGCAGCAACTGCCCAGGGAGACAGCTCTGAATACAGGGCGGGGCAGGAAAGTAGGGCGGAGGGACAGGATAAATACAGGAAGAGGTGGGAAGAGCGCTCTTCCACCATGGGGACGGCAGTCAGTGCCCTGAAACAAAATGCATATGCGCTGTGGAAAACCTATTTGAGCTACAAACTTTCACCCAGTCAGAATTTTTTAAAAAAGTGTCCCATGAAGGACGGCTCTGACAGTGTGTGGTCACACACAGCGCCCCGAGTGGAGGGTGGCAGTGGGTGACCCGGGCTCTCACCGTAGCCTTGCTGCTGACCAGGGTAGCTCTGCTGGTTGGGGTACTGCTGCTGGGAGTAGGTCTGCGGCTGGGGTGCCCCCTGCTGGTAGCCGGCCTGCTGTTGGCTGTACTGAGAGTTTCCTAGAAGGAGATGATGTGCTGAGTGGCCGCGACCGACCTCAAGGCGCCCTGGACCATGTGCCTTCCCACACCCTTCAGATATTTTATTACATTTTCTTCTTGTTATTTTACAAAAGCAAATGGAAAGCCAAAATGAACCAGAGGGTTAATATTACATTGACATAAAGACCGAATGTTGTTAATGGATTGAATTGTGCTCCCCACAGAAGACAAGTCCACATCCGAATTCCCAGGTCCTGTGACTGGGACCTCATTTGGAAATGGGAGACTCTGTGTCCTGCTGCAGTGGGTGGTGGGGTGTCTAATCCAATGACGACTGTACTCACAAGAGGGTGGTGTGGGCACTAGGGCACATCATATTTTGCATTATATGATGAGGAAAATGACATGTGATGATGGAGGCAGAGATGGGAACGGTGTGCCCACAAGACAAGGGAGACAAGACTCGCCTGGAACCACCAAAAGTTGGGAGAGAGGCAGGGGGTGGGGTCTCTCTCAGAACCTGCAGCAGGAACCCACCCAGCTGGCTCCTCAATTTCAGGCTTCCAGACCAGTGAGAAGACACATTTCGGTTGTTTTAACTCACCAGGTCTGTGGGGCTTTGTGAGGGCATACACGGAACCTGCCCACAGCAGACTCTTGAGAAAAGCGTCTGAGAGCAACAGGTAGCTGGGGCCCCACTGAGAACAGGGATGAACGCCAGGACTGGTGTTTACAAGCCCGGATGGAGAACCCACGGAGGTTAGGTTTCAGTCTGTTTATGTGCACAACCCACTGACAGAGGCTGTGTGTTTCACAAATCCACTTCCAGGACAGTCGAGTGGATCAACTGAGAAACAGTGTCGGCTAAGAAAAAGGTAGCTTCTGTGTCTAGAACCTCACTACGAGCCACTTTACACCATGCTTCAAGAAATCTCCTGAACAACGCTATAAATTAAGCACCAGTGCGATCCCATTTTACAGATGAAGAAACTGAGGCACGTGGCCAGTAAGTGGAGGAGCCAGGCAGCTCGGGTGCTTGGAGCAGGAAGTAAAGGCAAGGGGCAGGTCAGCTGGACCACGGCAGAGTTTGCCGTCCCACCCCCCAAAGGCATGTTTAAAGCCTGCCTCATGTGATGAATGGACACAAGGCGGCACAGAGCCTGCATTCCAAGTCTCCCAGGAGGAAGCGGCTGCTCCCGGAGGAATTTAACTGGTGATGACAAGAGGCAGACTTGGCCCAGCCTAAGAGCAGCCCTGACCACCTCTTCCCCCTGACCCTAACCCCGGTCCCAGGAGCCTTACCACCCTCGTAGTAGTGCTGGGTGGGTTCCTCAAATGACCGGTCATAGCTCTGGTCCGTGTAGGATGACGGCTGGTAGGCATAGTCACCGTGGCCTGCGGGCAGAGAGCTGCAGTCAAAGAGGAGCCACAGCTGGTGCTGGGCATCACTGGCTCAGGAGGCAGTCTGGAGGGAAGACCATGCTGGGCGAACCCTACCTTCTCCAGACTGATCATGCCCTGAGGAAGTGCTTCATGCCTCAACCCCCCACTGACAGGCAGGTGCCATTACAAGGTCAGTGAAGATGGCACGGTCAGATGGTACAGTGTGTGAAGTACCCGATCAACAGCTGCCTCGTCCACTCGGGGGCACTGTGGCCCACTGTGAGGCCCTATCCTGACCCCACCGTGTTATAGGGACACACCTGCCAGGCGCACAGGCCACACTCCTACTCACTGTCCATTTCTGGCCTGCCTTCCCTGCCTGGGCACTGTTCTTCAGGGAGCCCCCACCTTGACCTCCCCAAAGTCCAGCCATCCTTTAGGACCCCTTTCAATGCTCAAACCCAGGACTATTCATGATAGAGGTTTATGTGGGTTGTGGGGATCGTAAGCGAGCAGTGCGAAGAGGTGTCATGAGGTCAGCCACCTTCTGGAACCACCTCCTGTGACAGCACCATGTCTCTGGACAGCTCCCGCTTCAAGGTAATGCAGGGGGAAACGAGGGGTCCCACGTGACAACAGCACATACTGGAAACTTCTCTCTAGGATCAGACCTGCCGCTGTCAGCCCGGCTCTCATTCTCCAATGCACTCCGACAAGGTGGCTGCCGCAGTGCAGTGAAGGCCTGCATACGGCCCTCCGAGCCAGGTGTGGTCTTCTAATAATGCCCAGGCAGTGACTGCTAGCGAGTTGGTTCTGACTCATAGCGACCCCATGCACAACAGAACGAAATACTGCCCGGTCCTGGACTTTCCTCTCAATTGTTACGTGAGACCCTTGTGGCCGCTGTGCCAATTCATCTCATTGGATCTTCCTCTTTCATGCTGACCCTCCACTTTACCAAGTATGATGTCCTCCTCCAGGGATTACTGGTCCCTCCTAGTAAAGTCTGAAAGGTGAAGTCTCACCATTCTAGCCTCCAAAGGTCACTCTGGCTGCACTTTTTCCAAGACAGATTTGCTTTTTCTTCTGGCAGTCCATGGTACTTTCAATCTTCTTCTCCAACACTACAACTCAAATGTACCAATTCTTCTAAGGTCTTTCTTACTCGTTTCTGCATCGGGCAGATCTGCTGCACAAAACCTCTTTAAAGTGTTAAAGAGCAAAGATGTCAGTTTGAGTTCTATGGTGCAACTGATCCAAGCCACGGTATTTCCAATAGTCTCACACGCATGTGAAAGTTGGACAACAAATAAAGAAGACCCCAGAAGAATCGATTCATTTGAAAGGGTGGGATTAAACAATAGGTGTTTGTGGCCCAGCAAGGGGACTGCATAGCTTGCCAACAATGCAAATTAGGTGGATGAAACCCTAACAAGGGGATTGGTCAATTTTGCATCCCAGAGGTGAAAAGCGGGGACCTCACCACCACCAGGAAAGAAGAGCCCAGAATAGAGTGTTCTTTGGACTCAAGGTCCCTGCACTGAGAATCTCTGAGGCCCAGGAGAGACAGCTGGAAGATGGGAGGAGGTGCACAAAGTCCCTGCGCTGAGAATCTCCAAGATTCCAGGGAGAGAGAGCTGTAACATCGGAGGAGGTGCACAATGGTGAGAAATAGCAGAAGAGGTGGAGTGGCAGCGGAACCAGACAAGCCAGAGATAGCACTGTGGGCTTGCCAACCCGTCGAGCAAGAGTGCCAAGCATCTTCAGGCCGAAGGCTTACTGGCGGAGTGGGGTGTCTTGACGCACCTGCTGGTAGAGCTGAAGAGTTGTATAACATTTGTTCAAACAGGACAAAAGCCAGGCCAAGGGGCTAAGGACCAGAGGTAGGAGGAGGCCATCCTGATCAATCCTGAATCGCATCCTATTGCTTGTTGTTATGAAGTGCCATTGAGTTAGTTCCGTCTCATAGCAACCCTATATAGGGTTTCCAAGGCTGTACATTTTTGTGAAAGCAAATCAACTTTGTAGTTTACAGTCCACACTGCTTTTCATACTGAGTCACTTCCCTAATAAACTCCACAATTATGAGTACGGTGTGTGAGTTCGGACCATGGGATCCAGCAGAGACGTCGAGGAGAGTGGACCATGGGATCCAGCAGAGACGTCGAGACGAGTGGACCATGGGACCCAGCAGAGACGTCGAGGCGAGTGGACCATGGGACCTAGCAGAGACGTCGAGGCGAGAGGACCATGGGATCCAGCAGAGACACCGAGGCGAGTGGACCATGGGACCTGGCAGAGATGTCGAGCCGTGGGAGGGACGGTTGGCATGGGAGTGGTAAAAAGACTGGAGGCTGGAGGCAGGTCTGAGCGCTGTGGGTTGATGCTGAGGGTGAGTCTCTCTCCTTGTGAAGTCAGAGAAGGAAATCCGCTACTGCTGTCACGTCATGGTCACAGGGGGCGTTCGATGCTTTACAGATAGGGTAGTAGAGGCAGCATGCCCCCTGGCTGACTTCGGCGATCCTGATCCCACCTCTACTGAACACAGCATGCGGGTCCCTCCCGTGCCAGCACCCAGACTCACCGTCGGGGTAGTACTGCTGGCTCATGGGCTCTGTGGCTCCCTGGCTGTGGCTGTACTGTTCGCTGTAATATTCCTCCTGTCCCATGTACTGCTGTGAGGAACCTGCGGGAAGATACGTCCACCACACGCTGCCTGCCCTACACACGAGGACGCCCACCACACGCAGCTCTCCCGACACAAGAGGACGCCCACCCAAGGACGCCCATCACACGCTGCTCTCCCTACACACGAGGATGCCCACCCAAGGACGCCCACCACACGCTGTTCTCCCTACACACAAGGACGCCCACCACACGCTGCTCCCCCTACACACGAGGATGCCCACCCGAGGACGCCCACCACACGCTGTTCTCCCTACACACAAGGACGCCCACCACACGCTGCTCTCCCTACGCACGAGGATGCCCACCACACGCTGCTCTCCCTACGCACGAGGATGCCCACCACACGCTGCTCTCCCTACACATGACGATGCCCACCACACGCTGCTCTCCCTACACATGACGATGCCCAGCACACGCTGCTCTCCCTACACATGAGGATGTCCTGGACACAGAGCACAACACGGTGGCACCCAGAGGAACTAAAGCCTCATCACTGAGCCCCCAAGACTCAGGGCTTCGCATTTATGAAAACAAGACCCCAGCCCTGACTCAGACCCCACAGACACACATAGTTCCGTCCTCACAGCACACCACGTACAGGCTTGTTCGCACACTGCGCCAGCGCCACAGCCCAACCCCATGGGCAGGAGCACCACCCTGACAGGACCATGTAGGTGCATGTGGAAGGCAGGGTTACCTTGTTGAGACGCCCGGTAGGGTGCCATGGGTCGCTGCCCCATCAGACCAGTGCCCTGGCCGCCTTGGCCCATCATGGTGATGGAGGACTGGCTCTGATAGTGCTGGCTCCCGCCCTGTGCCGAGTTGTAGTGGGACGTCGCCGCCTGCTGGTGCATCATGGACACTAGGGACAGGCAGAACCCGAGTGGCCATGGGAGCTGGGCATCCAGTGCCCAGTCCGCCGGCTCACCTCTGTACCACACAGTCCACAACCCATGGGACGGTCCATGCCCACACACGAGAAAGCCCAACCACAGCTTCTAGGACAGGTGCAGCTTGCCTTCGTTCCCGGTGCTACTTCCTGTGAGCCACCCCTGACCTCACTGTGACCCTCACTGACTCCCTGTGACCCTTAATGACCTCCCTGTGACCTCACACCCTGACCTCACTGTGACCCTCACTGACTCCCTGTGACCCTTAATGACCTCCCTGTGACCTCACACCCTGACCTCACTGTAACCCTCACTGACTCCCTGTGACCCTTACTG